TTAGGGTTCTAGCAAGTCATTCCAAGATTGAGACAATTTATCAATAAGGCAGGAGACTTTAAAATCCTCATTGAACTTTGTTCCTTTCTTTTCAACTCTTCTTAATTGCTCCTGATACTCATGTATTTGTTCCCTCACAGACTTGTTATCAACCATCTCATAATCATTAAAGTTTGAGACCGTGAACCTATCCATCCCAGTATCTACAATTCCATATTCCGTTTCTAAAGTTTCCCAAAGTTTTTGGCGATGGATGTAGTACCATGATACTGATTAGAAAGGGCACTTAAGATTATGTTGTGACAATGGTATTATATTAGTTCAGGAGTTAGTTTAGAAGATGACTCTTTAGAAGAGCAATCTTTGTTTGATTGAGTTTCTTCAAGTGCAGATACAAGTCCTAAGACAGTTAACCAATATTTTACTTGTTTTTGCCACCCACAGAAATTATAGCCACTATATTTTTCAGGCTGACCCTATTGGCTTCTTCTAGACTTGCCATTTGTTATGTAATATTGACCAATAATAAGTGAGAGAGAGAAATAAGATTGCTATAACACTGTAGAAATTAAAACAAGTTTGTCACTCAAAAGTTTCAACAAATATAGAATGAACTATACTAGTGTATAATATTCTTAGATCAATTAATAGTGATAATTACAAACATATTTGATTAAAGCACCAAAGAGAAATTAAAATATCAATATGCAATCATGAAATAGTAAACAATTAACTAGAAAACTCAATTAATTCTACTTATACTATATAGGATCAATCCCAGCGAATAAATGACAGATAAGCAGTATTAAAGTGCTTTGGTACTGAATAAAATATGCAGAGAATCAAAGATGCAATGAAGGCAATATTAGAAACGCACTTCTTTACAACTATATTAGTAATTCAAGAACAAAATAATTACTGACAGGAGTAAAAAGGTTCAACTGCTATTTAGATGCAATCAACGAAAGGCATGGTTAGCCTTTCCCAGAAAATTCAACAACAGGAAAACTACAATTATTGGGGCTTTCAAAGCACTGTGAAAACAGATTGTAAAATTTTGCAATTATATTATCACACTCATACAGCTTTAGACTGTGAAATATATTGCAGAAATATACCAACTATTTATATAATCAAATATATTAAATTAAATTTATATCACTATTAGACTTACGAAAAATTAAATTTGGAAAAATGAATAAGAATATCTGGCCTGTGAACCGAAGAGAGGCGCTATGTCGCTGCCCTAAAGTCGTAGACGCCTCCCTACGTACAGGTTATGTCAGTGCCTACAACTCCAAGATACAATCCAAAGCCTCACAAAGTGTCTGATCCATTATGTACGTATGGTGCGGCAGGCATACGATACTGTTATTCAACATAATGGTTTGGCATGTGAACGGACGAAGAAGCAATAAATGTGGAAAGGAATAGAATGATTTTATAATTGAAGGAATGAACCGATAATCAAAGGGACCTGAACATCTGCATTGAAACTGCACAATGCTTGACATTTCTGAGCTTCTGTCTAATCTTGTTTGATGTGACATAAATAGTAATTGGAGAAGCCATGAACAATTGATTGCCTGACTTTGCAGGTGGTTTGTGGGAAGCTAGCAGGAGCTGTTGCGTGCTTGCTTGATGAAATTGGGAGGTTCAAAAAGAGAACTAAATTTTGATGTGAAGATATTAAGGCCTGCAAATGTGCATGAGGCTATAGCCCTTGCAGTTCAGCTTGAAAATAAGTTCAGTGAGCTCAAATTAGGTAACTAGAGAATTATAGCGCAAGCAAGACCCCAAACAGTTGTGCCTTACATTACTACTCCACCAGCCAATAGATTTGGTAACTTATCAGTGAAGAAACTTAGTCCAGAATAAATTGTTATAAAGAGGGAATGAGGTGACTGCTGGTTTTATATGGAAAAATGGAGTAGGGATCACAAATGTGGTTAGAAGCAATTACTAATGCTTGATTTAGTTGACAATGATGAAGAGTCTGGAGAGGTAGCTACTGAATTGTAGCCTGAACTCCAAACCATGGAGCTTAAAGAATGTGCATTCTATTGCACCAACTCAAAACAACAATCTCAAACAATGAAGGTTGAGGGGTTAATTGGTAAACACACAGTGAGAATTTTGTTGGATTCAGGGAGCATTCACGGCTTCATTTATTCTAGGTTGACAAAACAAATGGGATGACACTTGCAGCATACTCAACCATTCAATGTGATGATTGCTGATAGAGGCAAATTGAGAAGTCAAGGGTGTCTCAAGAGGGCAGCTCTAGAAATTGGAGGGTTACCATTGTGCACATGATCTCTATGCATTGCCTCTTGGGGATTGGGACGTGGCCATAGGGGTTGATTGGTCATCTACTGTCAATCCAGTCCTCTGGAATTTCCAACTTTTGACCATGAAATTCCGGAAAGACAGTGTCACTTACAAGCTTTCTAACAAACCTTCAACTCCACCACCCCTCCAAGAAGTGTTATCTCAGCAGTTAGACAAGGAATTATGTACTTCTAACTTAAGAATGTTTCTGTATTCTTTGGAGAATGAGAAATTTGAAGCATTTGAGTTAGATCCAATACAACTTCAAGAACTGCAGAAAGTGAGGGGAAATTTTGAGGAGTTGTTTGTGTTGCCTACTGCACTATCTCAATTGAGATCTCAAGACCGCAAAATACCATTGATTGATGATTTGTTAGACCAAGTCATAGCCCCTTCTCCTTCCTTGTGCTATTGGTGAAGAAGAAAGAGGGCACTTGGAGACTCTGCATGGATTACATGGAGCTAAGTTCTATCACCATCAAAGATACGTTTCCCATACCTTTGATTGATGATTTGTTAGATGAACTTTTTGGAGCTCAGTATTTCCCTAAATTGGATTTAAGATCAGAATATCATCAAATTAGGATGTATTCTGATGACATTGAGAAAACTGCTTTTGGAATACATGAGGGTCATTATGAGTTTTTGGTTATGCCATTTGGGTTGACCAACCATTTGGGTTAACCTATGCACCAGCTACATTTCAAAACCTCATGAATGACATATTTAAGCCTTACCTCATACAACTCATTTTGGTGTTCTTTGGTGATATTAATCGACAACAAATCATGGGCAAACCACTTGGTTCATCTAGGCATTAAGATTCTGAAGAATCATCAATTGTTCATCAAGAAACAAAAATGCTCATTTAGTCAGAGCAAGGTAGAATACCTTGGTCATATTGTTTCTAGAGTGGGTGTAGCTGCTGACCCCTCTAAATTGCAAGCAATTGTGGATTGGCCAATACACACTACTGTGAAGGGTCTGAGAGGGTTTTTGACTCTCTGGGTATTACAGGAAGTTTATTCTTGGGTATGGCAAGATATGTTAGCCATTTTATCAACTCACAAAGAAAGAAGGGTTTCTTTGGTCACCTAGTGCCCAAGATGCTTTTAGTCAATTGAAACAAGTGATGAGATCTCCAAATAAGGTAAACCTATTGCCTTCTCCAGCCAATCATTAGGTCCTAGAAACGAAGCATTATCCACTTATGAGAGAGAGTTTATTGCAAATGTGCAGGCAGTGAAAAATGGTAGAATTATTTGTGAAAAGAATAGACCACCACAACCTTATGTACTTTCTCAGTAATAGGGCTTATACTCCATTGGCCCCACAACAAAAAGGAGAGAGAAAGAACAAGAAAATTGAAATAAAAAGCACCAAGATTTTAACCACAAAAATGCATATACATATATTTATATATATACACAAATGAATATGTATATGAATTAGAGTTTGCAAAAGCTATAGCAAAAGAAGCTGATACCCAAATTAATTTCCCTTTTACGCCTGGGGAGAGGGAGAGAGAGAAGAGTGGCAAAGCAAAAAAGCGAAAAAAATTGAAAAAAAAAAAAAGAATGATGACTCAGGCTCTTCTAAAATGGAGGAGTGGTGTTGGTTGGTTGGGTTAAATTCATTTTATCTCGTTTTTTATAAGAAAATAAATCAGGGATTTCAGGACGTCCCTTTTTTATCTCATTTTTAAATTTCTTAGATATTTTTTAAAAATATAATTGTTACAGTGGGAGACTACTGCGGCAACTGCTTCAAATACAGTTTCTTTCTTTCTGCACGTTCTATTTTCTTTCCTCCACTTTCTCTCCTTGCCACGTTTTTATCATGTCCTTACTTTTTTACTTTTTATTATTTTTACAACCTGTAATAAAAGGGGCAATTTTGAGATATTAAATGTTTCACCGGTTCCAGCACTTCTTCTCCTTTTTATTTTTTTTCCTTTTTTTTCTTCTAATAAAAAGAATTTTAGATTTATGTTTTTTTTTTTACAAAATTGCCCTTGTTTTGATGTATCAAATTCAGTTTTAGTTTTAGATTTTTTTTTGTTTAAGGGGCTTTATAGTCCTTTTCTTTTTGTGAAGCCTTGAGACACCAAACTCTCTTTCTGGCTTTCTAATATTAAAAATGAACTGTATTGTTGTTGACTAGAATAACTCGTAGGAAACTAAGTCTGTTTGATAGATTTGCGCTTGGTTAACTAACGAATCTGTACTTAGTTGACTAGTCAATCCAGCCTACTTTAATTCATAATTGTTTTGTCATTGTTGTTTGCATAATGGACAGATATGTGAATGTGTTCCATTTTGTGATTTTTTGTTGTCAGACAAATCTAGGTAGACTCTAACTAGCTAGACGTACTAGTCAATTAAGTTTAGTTCTTGCAACTATACTTTCTGTCATTGAAAAACTTGTAACTAATTAGGTAGCTCATTTGACTAGTTTACTGTGCAAAGTTAAAATTTTTATTAGTAGGATATTCCGCCTAATACCAATTTCAATTGGTATCAGAGCTCTGCTCTTGGTATACAGAGAGTAATCTCTGAGAGTTACTGGTATTGAGCAGGCATCTCACCATTGATTGTGATCGTGTTACTGGCTCTTATAACTCACATCCGTTCTGTGTTGGAACAGACTATGCTGCAGAGAGTGAGAAGTTCACCGACAAGCCCTCTTTATTCCATCGTTTCATAAATACATTCTAACATGCTCAAACGATTACACATACAATATGGCAGCTACCAGACAATCACAAGACATAAAACCTTGTAGGATGGATGTTATACCCATTATTCCGTAATCTCTGCTATCTAACAGCATTTAGTTGCAGAATATAAAGATGACATACACTGATCAGATTGTAATGATAAAACTGCCTACTGCAAAAACTCTCTCGGGTCGGTGACGTAACCAGTCAAAGCTGACGCAGCAGCCGTATAGGGGGAAGCGAGATATATCTGGCCTTCCTTGTGACCCATTCGACCTGGGAAGTTCCTGTTTGTTGTCGAGACGCATACCTGCAAAGACAAGATGGTTAACAATCTACCAGTATTTATTTTCAATACAATTGAAATTAAAACCAAGATGTTCTCCTTGCAACAAGGTTATCTGCAAATTGGGTTATGAACCCCAAAGGCAGGGAAGTCAGTCCCAATTCTATCGAAGACGACATAGTGAAATGCAACAATGCGTGACGTCCAGCTGCCCCAAGACAGGAGAGCACAATAGATCCTTATGAATGTGTTGCAGAAAGGATGCACTCGCCTGAGGTTCATTTAAGCGTGCATGCGTGTCTTTCGGACCACCCATTTAAGCACCGCAAGTGGGACTTGCAGGTGCGTCACATCCAGCTTCCTCAAAAATCTGGGAGCAAGTCTTGCCACCAGACCCTGGAACTGGCAGACTATACACGTCCATCCAAACCCGCAGATTTCAGAATATACAATAAACAAGATTTCATTTATCATGCCTTTCATAAAATTTCTTGATAAATTTATATATACAGATGTTGTCACCGAAGCACTTAATTCTGTAGCTTGACAAACGTTTTGGGTAGCAGGCACAAGAAATGTGGGAACTTTGACCTTTTTCCCCTGCAGCAAAGGAATTAAATCTTGAAGCTTAAACCAAGAAAAGAGAATTTCCAAAAAAAACATTCAGATGTCAATTGAAGTCAGCATTACAGAATATGTAAACAATATCCGAAGTCAGCATCTGTAAACAATATCCCAATACTCATGTGACAAAGATTTGACTCCTTACAGATGCTAGAAAAACTCTGGCTGCAGCCATAAAATCCTCCGTTTTTCTACCAGTACAAGAACCGATATATACTCTGTCAATTTTCACATCTTTGCATTCTCTTGCTAAAGCACGATTATCTGGAGAAGGAGGCTGGAATACAATTCTTTTTATGAATTAACCATGGAAGAGAGGCAAAATTACAAATCATTGAATATCTACAAGGGAGATTAAACTATAAGAGACCAATCTATGTGCTGCTCACCTTTGCCACCAATGGCTCCAATTTTGAGATATCAAATCTGTACTCTTTAAGAAATCTAAATGCACACAAAACAAACTCATTAATACAAACGAATTCCAAAAAGCTAAATCTCACAAATCTTAAGTTAGTCAACAGAAGGAATAAAAGAATATGCATATTATAAAAAGGAATATAAAAGAATATGCATATTCAAATCCTAGGTATGCTTAACATCCAATTCTCTTACATCTGCTGTAGATTTACAAATGATGATAAGGTAGTCCGTGACAACCTGAACTAAACTACATAAGATGATGACCACATGGTACTTTAAATGTGACAGTTCTACTAGTATATTTTAAAAAAGATGAAGATAGAATGATGTCTCATCCACTAACATAACATTGTCAAAATTCAAATGCACCATCAGTGCGTCAAAAGTCCCTCAAAACCATAGGAAATACTATTTTAAATATATCGCATTAAAACGTTATTAAATCTAATAGGAACATAAGAGTCTAGAGTGGATGTCCACGTTGAAAGCAAAATACATGCTTCAGAGTTCAAACGTTATAAACTGGATCATGAAATGGTCTAATAAAATGTGGATAATCAGTAGCATTAATTACCTTGCTTTAGCATCACTGTAAACAGGTTCATAGGGAACAGACGTCTTATCCTGCAGTTCAACATTAAACATTATATAGCCTGTGCTACACAACACAAATGTATGTGAGATTCAAAAAGAACAAATTTGTGACAGCCACCCACCAAAAAATAAAAAATAAAAAAATAAAAAATAAAAAACGTGAAAATGTTGTGCTCCCAACTCCATTTTACTGACTCTAAAGGAGGGGAAAGAGAGGGAGAGAGAGCCATCGTAACATTGAAGATTTGTAGCACTAACCTCAAGGTAATTAAATGTAGTGCTATCAGCAGGAACAATACCATTTTTACCTCCAGCCTCAACAACCATGTTGCATAATGTCATTCGTTCTTCCATCTGTCCAGCACAGGTTTGTGAAAGAGTAATTAACAGATACAACCAGATGAATGGTATGATCATACATACAGTAAAATTCACTTACAGATAAGCTTTCAACAGTGCTGCCAACAAATTCCATAGCTTTATATGTTCCACCAGCAACAGTTATTTCACCAATAATTTGCCAGATGAAATTCATTTATCAAGGAGACAACAAGCCTGGATGTGTTATATATTAAACAAATAAAATCATATGATCAGTCTAACTTTTATAATTTTAACTTCTTTGTATATGCAGACTGAGTGAAAAAAAAAATGCTTTGAGAACAGTTAAACTTACTTGCAGAATCAAATCTTTGGCAAGCAAATAGTCGGGCATTTCACCATCCATCACAAATCTCAATGTTGGTGGCACCTGCAATTTTAGAAGGAAATCAGAAAAGTACGAAAACACAATAAAATTCACAGAAATTACTGCAAACAATTATAACATTAAAGTATGAGATAAAGCAGTACTGCAGAAATTGTGAATCAACAGATACAACAACCTGGATCACTCATAGCTCATATTGGAAAGAGAAACACATTTAGCTTATCAAAAAGCATAATTCTCCCTTTTCGGTTCTCTACATGGAGTACTTTCCTGTTTTCTGAGTTTTTAACAATGTCCAATGATTTGTTTTCAGACATTCAGACCTCAGATTGAGTGAGGCTGCAACATGTACCCTTCTTGATATTGCCTTCATGATCCCAATGAACAATATCAAATAATACAGTAAAGTTATGGCTTTTATAAAGTCTAACCCGTAGCTTCAAAAATCAAAGGGAAACCAAATGAAAACCCCACCTCCTAGTATTAGAACATAATATAAGATGAAAACATCTCAACTTGGGCATGCAGACGTGGTACTTGTGCTTAATAAAACTTGAGTGTCACATGCAAATGGTACTAGAGCCAGTTGTTTCATATGGCATGTATCTAAACACCTCACGCAACACTTGCTTCCAGGACATATACAACAATCTATAACTGTATAAATCAATCTAAATCAACCATTTACTAAAATCCTTTCAAGTGCACAATATCAAAGTTTCATGAACTCATCATGCCTGCCAGTGCACTTTCGAAAACCTTTAGCAGTTGCCTTGTCACGTCAACAAAACCTCAACTATTCCAGTCCGCAGTCTACACGCCAAACAGCACAAATCGTTTGAACTGAACTGCTCCTTCCCAGTTTTGCATTCCATAATTTTCATAAGAAAATGTCAAAATAATTCAATATTAAAAAAATTATAATTACAATTAAAAATCATAACATATTTTTCAATAATATCAAAATATCCAAACACTTGATTACTCGCAAGGCCAACCCTGTAATTTTTGGGCCCGAGTCAAGCTTCTGGGCGGGGGCCTTTGAGTTTTTAAGTCCTTCGATGTGTCATATATATATATATATATATATATATATATATATATATATATTTTTTTTTTTTTCTTCATGTTTTAAAAGCAAATACAATAAAAGAGAAAGAGTTTATAAGACATTTATGAAACAAGGAGTCCTGTGTCAAATAAAATAATTTGATGAGGACAAGTTGGCCGTATCAAAAAAAAATAAAACATCAAACAAAAATTTAATCAACATGTAAACTTATAATTGCATCAAAACATCCCACAATCAAGTTTTCTTCCTATCCTTTTTCAATAGATAACATAACTAAGTCACTCAATCTCTACCGAATACAATATACTATTTGACCAATTTCAAATAAAATTAATTTCATAGTTTGAAAATTAGATTATCTGAAGTTGTATTCTTCTAAACTGTATGAGATAGTTAATAGGTTGCTTTCTTAAAAATTTTGTGTAATTTTTATTTTTGTTAAATGATGAAGGACTAAAACGGATAGGAAAAAGAAAAAGAAATTAAAGAGAAAGAAAGGCATTTGCTTGGATTGAATTCCTGCCAAGTAGTCAAACCAATTTTTAATTCATTTCACCAACACAGTAACAGTTCAATTTTGAAATATTTTTTATTTTCTATTATTTATTAACCTACAACCTAAGGTAAACGAATTTCAGGGCTAGGCAGTCGCCACTCTCGGCTATCCTTAGGGCCTGCCCTGATTACTCAGGCCGATGGAGCAAATCGAGTACATAGACATAGACAAAATTATTTCAATGGGATCTTATATTAATTTTCCAAAATTTTTGGTTGTGCTTGCTTTTCTTATCTTCGTCGTTATAAGACCATCTCCAACTCTTAGAATAAGTCTCAAAATTTGCCTTCTATACCCCATTTCACTCCAACCCTTGGCTCAAAATTTAGTTTTGGGTTAAAACTCAAATTTTGACAAATTCGGACCAGAATTTGAGTTTGGGTTACTAAGTTGGCCCACTTGTGCGCGTGGACTCGACGCGCAGGCCCTTCATGCAGCCACGCTTCAACGTGTGAGCTTGCTTTATGCTTCGACAAATGGAGAAATTTTTCAAGGTACCCGATACTAGACTTGGCATTATAGACCTGACCCATTAACCTGAATCGACCCACTCGTTAAAACTAGTATTTGGGTGAGTGCTTAGTGGGTCATGTCGTTAACGGGTGAGCTCTTTAATCACCCGTTAAATAACGGGTCATTTTTAGTCAACCTGCCAAACCTGTTAGCCACCCGTTAACACTTGTTATTGGCGGCTTTTGAGTAAATTCAATAGACATAACCAAAAAAACCCTCGTTGACTCTCGCCGTCTCACACTCTCACACGCTCTCCAACCATTCTCTGGTTCTCCTTGCTTCTGGCTCCTCTCGCACTCTCGCTTTCTATTTTCTCTTCAATCTTGTATGACTCATGGCTTCTTCTAGTTTCTTCTGTTTCTCCGCCATTTTAAGTTAAGTCGTGAGCTCTGCCTTTTTACTGTACTTTTTCTGCTCTTATTTCTTCATATTTTTTCTTACATAAAGATGGTTTGATTGGCTTTTCGAGCATCAATAATTTTGATTTTTTGAATTAAAATGTGTAATTTAACAATAACTGTCTGGTTGTCTTTCAATTGTTCACGTGACCACTATTTTGATGAAAATATTGGTTTTTTTAGGATTTTAAGTATGATGATTGATTTTTCCGTGCAAAATTATGTGTATTGATTAATATATTGATGCTTAGCTAATAGTTAATGAGGGTTTATTGTGGCAGGCTCTTGTTCTTTGAATGTCATGATTTTTTATCATATTTTGTGTTTTTATGAATTGGGTTTAATTCTGTATGTGAAATTTTAATCTTGGTTAGGGGTTTTGGTTCTTAAAAGTTGCTTCCTGGGATTGAAAGTCCTTTGTTTAAATTTTTTTATTTTATTTATTTATTATTTATTTTTATTACTTGTATGTTAACTGATATGATTTTCATTTACATGTGAATTTGTGATCTGACCAGGTGGGTATTGAATCCTGAAAGGCACTGATCAGAACTAGAGTTGATCTCATGAGTTGTTGAGAAGACACCAAAGTTGCAAAATCCATCTTCCCCAACCAAAATCCTGCATTCCACCTATATAGTTCATCTCATGAGTTCCTTTTGTAAGGGTTTATAATATTTGTAGTGACTACCCTCTGTAAGGTTTGATTATATTTATATGGTCAATGCATTTGGGTACTTCTAAAATGTGTTGGAACCTCCTGCTTGAAATCTTGATTGAAATATGTATAATTTGTATTGGAATGCAAAAGCCCAAAAAAAGAAAAAAAAAGTTGTTATTAAGTGGTGAAATGGGTAACTCACTAACTTAATGTGTTGAATTTGAGTGACTTGTTAACTTAACGGTTAGGATTAAGGTGACTTGTTAGCTTAACGAGTCTAGTGAATGTTGGGAATAACCCAAGAATTAAGATTTTAACCCTAAATCACAATATGATATATAGAACAAGAAGACTTACCCATCTAAGCCAACGTGGTTGTCAAAAGAACTCTTCTACTCACTCAAGCCCTTTATGCTCTTATGGTGAGAGAATCCTAGACTTAGAACCGATGCTTTGTGAGTAGGGAATCCCTTTTATTTATTGATGACTGGCATCCAACTTCCATCTATCATGGGTGAGTTGGTTATCGTCTCATATCATCACAACTTGGAAGTTATTGAGTAGTGGAGGAACGGTTTGTATTCAAAGCACATTGGATGTATTTCCTCAATTATAGGATGTTGGTTTTACACATATTCAAACTCTAATGATTTGCATTACCAACATATTACTTCTCCTTTATCTACTAGTTGAGTCCACATAGGATTCTTACTTTGAAATCTGATCCAAACCTAATAAATAATTCCGTTTACAGGCCAGTACACTAGTTGAGCTGGTGTTCTCGGCAAATAAATGCGTGACACATAACAAAAAAATTCAAGCTAACTTATTTTATCAATGCAATTCATAATTTCCCCTAAAAGTGAAAGAGAATTTGGAAAAAAACCACCCCCCCACCAAAAATTGACAGCAACCAATCACCCAGCCGCCACGAACTCACGGCAAGACAACGACCCCTCCATTGATGGCGATAATTACAACCTCTGATCAAAGTGCAGGGGTGGCCGACGACAATTTATAGTGCCTTTCTCCGATGTAAGGGAGGTTAGAACGAAAAATAGGAAGGTAGAAGGAGATAGAAAGAAAAATGAAAGGGGAAGGGAGAGATGGGTGGGCATGGGGCGGAGGTCAGAGGCTCCGATGGGAATTTGAATCAGTTTATTTAATTAACTTTTTGTTCAAATTTATTTTCTGAAAATTAGAATTAAATGGGAAGATTGTTTGCAACGTGTCAAAACAGAGGCTAGGTGTCTAATATAAGCTACGTGTTAGGTGTTCATATGTTGGGAACACTAGCTATGGTACCGGGTACGCCAAAATATTAATGCAGAGAGATTAAATTTGTAGACTAAATTTTGTAAACTAAATAATATGGAAGTTGATGATTGTATTATTACTTAAACATTGATGAATGTACTCATTTCCTATTGGTGACATATTTAGTCTGTAAATTTACATTACAAATTTAATCTCTCTTATGACGACCTATCCCTAATTTTCATTGGAATTTCTTTTTCCGTTGGTGTGTTTTGACAATTTTACCCTTTTTGGACAAAAGTGGAATCTGACGTGGACATTGTTTTCAACTGTTATTTCCTTTTCCTGGTTTCGTACTTAAGTAGTATTCGTTGTTACAAATGCATGAGCATAAGTTAGACCCGAATCATATTTGTAACGAAAAAGCTACGCTCTGTTAAACTACATGACCACGAGTACTTTTGTACACGCGCGTACAAATTAACAGTGTCAGAAACATTGTAAGGAAGTAGATTTTGTACATTAAAAATTGTTCAAAATCTGAAATCAAATTCTTCCTTTATTTGGTGAATCCGTGTCCCATCTCCCTCGCACAAAACAACCAATCATCTCCTTGATTTCCTCCTCACCACCCAATCAATTGCTTTCCCTCATTTGAAAGCAACCAATCAGACTTTATTACCATGATTTACACCAACCAATCAGAAAACT